TCGATACAATACGCAAAACAAAACACAGTAAGACATAAAAGTCAAGAAAAGTTAATATTTAGAAGTCTTTAGACATAATGGTAAATGATTACAACATTTGTGGGTCATTTTGTGACAGTTAATGGTCGATAATAATAGATCAAGATACAATGAGATTGTTGTTGCATCCAATGACAATGAGTTGTCTCAAGTTACCTTACCAGGCACGTGTGCCGGTAATTCGAGGTCTTACACGTTTTCTCATGATGGCTGAGGTCGCTTTGGTTCAAGACGGTCAAGACGGCGAAGTCATCATTGACTGCGTTGCAATTTTTTACGAAGAAGGCAAAGGAGGGGAAAATTATCGCAAGAAAAATAAATTTCGATGCCGGGTTTCAAGTACAGAAAAACGGCTTGTAAAGTTAAAGGAGAGGATTTGGTAAGTTTGCTTCTTTAGTTCTTACCGGCGCGGCGTGTGAAATAGGTCAGATAGTCGAGATAGGTGACTCAAAACTCGCACTAGACGTGCGTGGAAAGGGTTTTGGTTGGTTTGTTTTTTGTTTTTGTTTTCAAGCTTTCAAGAGCTATTTCCATACAAGTTAATTAGCTGTTGGATCGACCTATAAGACCCTATAACCAGAATTGTCTGTGAGCTAGGTACTCGCAGTTTGCCAGGAAGGTCAGGAAGCCGTTTAGTCCATTTGAAGTTTAGTCGTTTAGTTTAGTCCATTTTCTCACGGAAAAATAGGGAACTGTGAACAGTCTAAACCGGTTGTAGTAATAATGACGCCATCATGCAAATGCTTAAGGTAAGAGAATTGTTATTCACTATTAGGACTGTATTAGGGATCACGCCTCACTGTATGCTTTTCGTTTTGTATACTCCTACCAAAAGGTTGAACAAATGAAGTTTACTTTTCAGTGAAAATTTGCGAAAAATTTGCGAACTACCAAAATATTAAAAAAAAACATGGACATCTTTGTGCATAAAAGCCTGAGATAATTAAACGCGATAGATGGAAGCAACCATAAGTATGCGGAACCGATTATAAATGTAATTAAAATATGCGGTATCGGTATTTAGTCGATTTGCGACGCGGTATTTCGGTATTTGCCATTTTTTCGTACGGCATTGCGGTATTGGGTACCCCCCAATGTCCCCCTCTTTACAATAAAGAATTTAGTCAATTGAAATGTCTTTCACTCCTGCCTAAGAGTGGAATCTTTCTGATTCAATTGAAATTAAATGCTCACTGAGTTTTAAACCGTATTGTCTTAATTCTGCCGAGCAAAATTGATTTAGTTTGATTGGTACAAATTATTGAATTCAGTAATCAAACTCACACATTCAATTAATCAAACTCACTGAAAAGTTCCAGTTCAATGATGTCCAATTAGCTAGGTTACATACGTGTATACTTTATAATAACAGCTCCCTGACCACTAATTACAGAAATATCCTATTATTAAGATCTAAAAGAATATTAAAATGCCTAATATACTAAGACTAGATACTTACGCAAACTTAGCAAATAATTACAGACCTTTGCCTTAAACTTTTTGGCATCAGTAGTTCGCTTAATCTCGTTTGGTTTGCACCTCGAAAAGCAAATGATCGTTGTCTTGTTTTCAGCCTACAGAGTGGTAGATCTAATTCACCACAGGGTCCAGAGGAGATTTGTTTGTCGTTAGAACATCAAAGCCCGTCGAAAACCTCCGAAAAAATGGCTTATTTTGATCGCGTTCAGGAGGGAGACATAAACTTAGGCCTGGGTACTAGAGGAGATATTGGCGAATGAAAATCCGATGTGTCGGGCCATCGTGACGTCACGTTCAAGCCGGCCCGGGAAGTTTAAAGAAAGGTAAACAAATGGCTACCTCCCCATTACTTACAGATTAATTTCTCGTAAATCAACAGAGTGAAGCAATGACAAATCGAAAGGTATGTCCCGGTCTCCTTATTAACAAGTATTCTCGATAGCTTTTTGTCCCCAAAATCAAAAAACCAATCGGTGGTAGGACTGAAACGAGTACATGGTCGCTTCGGTCGATCGACACAAATCAAGATGAAGTTCACCTTTCACGACCCATATCTCACGATCCCTGAAATATCTCACTTAGCGACAAAAACATAACACTTGGGGGTATAAACTCTTTCCAGTTTTACAAAAATTCTTTCTTGTAACCATTTCTTAAAAATGATCAGTGGCTTTAAACACTGCTTTCTGGAGGTGCATTGCGTGACGGCCGAGAAAAAGAGAAGGGAAACATCACCTAATTAAACCAAAAAAGATATCTACGAAAAAAAATTGGAGTCAGTGGGAATAAAACAACAGGAATCGGTAATGTATTGCAGATGAAAGCCGTTTGATGGCTCTTTAAACACCTAAAAATTGTAAAAAAAAAAGTAGCGATGCGTAATTAACCAAATGGACTGACGCCACTTTTGACGCAAGCTACCTTTTAATACTGAGTAAAATAAACCAATCCCTTATACATAAATTGGCTTCATAGAAAGAAGAGCAAAGAACTTACATACCTGGGAATGAGCTTCAAGATCGGTACATCAGTTTGGTGAGTAATTTTCGACATTTTTTTTATATATATACTGTATAAAATAAAAATATATCTGAAATATCAAGTGATATTCAGAGCTTTTATTCGACGATTTATACTCTTACTTAGGCAGGGATCGTCTTAAGAATGTTTAAATTAGGAAAGGTACGAATAACCATTACAAAAGAGATTTTTCTTTAACTCTTCCACGGCAAAGTAAAAAAATGATTTGACGCGTGATAGTCAGCAACTCCTGTTTCCACGGGGGTCCGCATATTGAAATAAGGCACTTCACGAATTTTTTTGTCTAAGACTACGATATAAGTGCAAGCGTTCATTGAAAAAATGAATAATAAAACGTACTGATAAGGACACTTCACCTCCTTACTTCAACGATGAGCACTAAGAGGAACTGTTTCAATGAATTATTATAATTTATTATGCCTTGAAACTTCTGGAACCCATTATTAAAAAAACACAGTAGCTACCTATAAAGCTCACAAAAATTACATTACTGATACGCCGTTTAATTTTTTAGGCAATAGTGCATTACAATATTTGTAAACAAAGAAAATTTGTCAGGAGAAAAACAGTTAGACAAGTCAACGACCTGAGAAAATTCAACCCTCCAGATACTAATGATGTTTAATAAGGTCAGTGGGTTGAAAGGCAAAATGTTAGACCATTATCCAGTGATACATTTTGCATCCACATGGTTACAAGTTGAATGGAGCAATAAATACTCTTTTTTTTTGGTTCATTACAGAGAAAAAAAGTGTTGGAGAGAAAAAGAAAAAAGATCCTCAAATTAAACAAAACAGAGAAAAGTCTTACATTGAAAGGTCAAAAAGTGATTTACAATATCAAGAGGTTATACAAACAAGAACCACTTGTCTATAGGAAGCAATCAAAGGTACCAAAAAAAGTGAAAAAATTAATAACAATAATCAATCAATAATGAAATATACCAGGTATAGCTGCAATTATATATTATTATGTTCACATGGATATCAGGAAACCATACTGAACTATATTTTTTGAAGACAATTCAATGACAGTGTAACTATATATATACTTCTTGAGTCAAGAAACGAACTAATTTTAGCTCTTTATCAGACATGTACATGTATGGGAGAAAATGCTACAAAATGAACATGAAACTATGCATAGGGCTGTCACTAAGGAATGTGGGGTTACTATGAGCATGACCCCTGCCTACATTCATACAAAACAAGACAAAAAACAAAACCAAAATTAATTCCTATTTGTTCAACAATATGTTCTAATTGCATACACCTAGCTACTTGAAATCTTAGTGACAGCCTCATTTGCATTAGAACAATAAAACTATAACTAAAATATTTGCAAAATTTCTGAAAAGTCTTTGCAGGACAATGAAGACCCTATTCATGACATCCAGTACCTTTTTGCACCAACATGTCCCAAGACCACAAATGAAAAGGAAAAGATAACATCATCAAAAGGTAAAAAGATATCTTGAACTGGTGTAGCTTACATTCAGCAAATTCTGGCTTTGCAAAACTTGAAACATAAGGATCAGCCACTATCTTCTTTCATGCCAGAATACAATGATTATTGCAACGAAAATGGACTAATCAAAACCCATCTCAACAAGAATGTCTTCCTTCTAATACTTGTGGTTTAACTGGTCCTGTATTACCTATGTAATCCCTTGTTGGAAAGTAACATCCAGATATACGCTGTAAAACCTAATGATATTCATGATGTTAACGCAGTGACCATTGAAGATGTCTTGGATGAAGATGTGGAGGCAGAGAAACAGAGGATAAAGGAGCGGTGCCTGCCAGTTGACTCTCCATTTCTTTATCTTTGTGTAAATGACGATATCTCTGAGCCAACTCTAAGAATGCATCCTGTAGGCGGAAAGGGAGGAGGTTGGTATTACTCTTTAATTTTTTAAAAATTAATTTCACTTATTGGTCTCTATAGCTGTTACTTTTAGTAGTGCTTGGCGGCCTGTTGTTATGACCAATTTCCTTTAAACTTTCACCCTAGAAACTTTACAGTGTGCTTTGGAAGGATGCAGCAATTGGTGTACTGATGCATCAAAAGCAATACGGACCCTGAAACGACTTTATGAGATAAAGGGCATTTTTGGCAACTTAAGTAACAATGAGGTTGCACAACTGAAGATATGCAATGTCCATTACAATAAAGATCACCGCCGGCATCATTCTTCTCAGAAGGAAAATATGGTGACATGTATCACAGAATTTATATGTATGACATGCAACAAAAAAGTAAGAGCGACAAGATCCTTGCCATGTCATAAACACATACTCCAAGTACAGAATGGTGAGGTCTTCATATGTTCTTCTGTGTCATGCAGTTTTTTTTTGGAAAGTACACCTCACAAGGCAAGCACTGAAGAGAATGAGGGTTTCTATCATCAATGTTCAGCAATATCAGCAGCAAAGATAACAAACTATGTCTATGTAGAATGTAGGGACCCATTCCTGGAAATGGCAAAAATGCAAAAGAAATATGAAAAGACTAAACAAAGCCTACATACTCTTTTGGAAAAAATGGAAACCCAGGAGTCATCAAATAAGACAGGTCCAAACAAAAATGACATTTGTACCATGGAACTGCCAAAAAGGAAATTACTTTTTGCTGATAAAGAAAGCAACACTAAAACAGAGTTAAAGGCCCATCAGTTTCAACTGAAAGAAGTATTTGAAGAAATCATTGAACAAACAAACAATGAAGTTGAAGTCTTTGTTGGGATGGTCAAAAATTCCTCGCTCATGATATCTAAAAATGACCTTCTAAGTGGGAAAGTAAAAAACAACAAAAAATTAATTGTCAATTTCCACAAAGACTCAGTAATTGCAAAATACGATGTGATTGATAACACTGTCAAGACACAGTACCTTCTAAAACCACATCACAAGATGACAATGCAATCTTTGACAAAGGAAATTCTTGTTGCCTTTAAAGAACTACAGGACTCACATATTTGTTGTGGTATTTTCGAACAACACTGGGTAACTGCTTGTAAGCACTATAACTTGAACAATGTATTCAAAGGGAACAAGACCAAGTATCACATAGACAACTCCCACACCCTTCGAGACCCTAGACAAGCAACAGAAGTGATCTGTGAGACAGTGCGAAGCACACTACAGAATGGCAGCAACTGTCATGTCATCTTGCCCAAGTCAGGTGGGGATGGTAGTGCACGGCAATTTAGATGTGAACCCTGTAGTCAGCTTCTGCGGAAATGTATTCGGAAACTACCTTGTGTATTTGTGAAACCCAATTTAAATGATGGAAGAACAGACCCAAATTCAAAAACACCCATGACATCCTTACAACCAGAGGAACTTCTTCAACGATGTAGGCGAATGGGTGAATACATTCATAAATTAAAAAAGTCTCAAAGCTTGCTTTTGAAGCAGTATGAACATGAAAGCAAAAGAGAAAACCTGATAAAAATGCCTGAAAATGTGTTCTTAACATCTGGAAAACTGGGCTCGTTGATTGACCTTGCCTTTTCACAAAACTTGCTTCAAGAAAATTCCGTCCTATATGCATTGTTATGTGATACTCTTACCTCACTAATAAAAGCAGAAGCTGAATGCAAAGACCCTACAAAGCTGGGGAAGAAAATGCAACCGAAAGGAATGCGCTTCCATCCAGTTGTCTTGAAGTGGTGCGCAGAACTAGCAAGAAAGTGTGGCCAGGGAGGCTATAACTTGGTAAGAGAAATCTTACCAATTCCATCTCTCATCACAGTTAATAGCTACAGGCAATCTCAAAAATCTTACAGAGTTGTTTCACCAGATAACTTAAAACTGTTCTCACAAGAACTCACAAGGCGTAACTGCAAGGGAATAGGTGGCATCCACTGGGACGAGATTTACATCAAAAAGGGTATTAAAGTATGTGCTAGAACCAACCAACTTGTTGGTTTTAAGGACTTAGAGATCCCTGAAAATATTTTAGAAGTGATCAACAAGGATGAAAAAGAGCCCAAAAAAACTAATGGATACCAAATATTTCAAAGCAGTGATTGTGAAGATTCCTTGACTGATGAAGCCTCCACATGCAATGAAACAGATGAAGAATTGACAGAAACCTCCAGCAGACCAGTCACCAAAATAATCCTCCAGTTCTTCTGGTCTTCTATAGAAGGGGACTTTGCATGGCCAGTTGCCAGCTTTCCAGTAAACAAATTAAATGCAAAAACACTTGGAAATTGTGTATGGAGTACTGTTAGTATTCTAAGTGAGTTAAAGTTTGGTAGAAACAACGATAAGAAAGTTCAAGCGCTCTATGGTGTATGTGATGGCGCAACTCACAGCTCAGCATTCTTTAATCAGTATGCCTCCACAAATTGGATGACAGAAAATCCTTTCAATAACAACAATCCAATTTTTTGGCTATCTGACCCTCCCCACATGATAAAGAAGTTGCGTAACTTTCTAATATCTCAAAAACGCAATCTCAAGTACAGCAATTATGACATTTCTTTTGATCACTTGGCTGATGTGGCCCAGAGGGGCCAAACAAAGCTCTCATCAAAACATCTATTTCTCAGCTCTCGGACGAAGATGTCAGTTAAGCGTGCTGTGGAAACATGCTCTAGGGAAGATGCAGACGACATACTGTATAACAGCAAGTATGGATATCCCACTACACTCATGACAAGAACCTACATCAGAAAAGCTGCTGAATATTTTAAAATCTTGAACAGTATTTCAATTGATGATGACATGACACGCAAACTCAATTAGTGTACTTGTGTTCTTCAAACGATGGTATACAGAGCTGCTGTGGGGAACCAACACTGCAACAATATATGGAAGGAAATTCAAGTATTACTACAAGCCTTCTCATACAAGCTGAAAAGAAAGAATATGATCAAGCTTACATCGGGTCCTATGCCACTCTAGCAACTCCTAACTTTGTTTCTGTACCTCTGAAAAGAAAAAAGAATAATATTGGAAAAATGTCAAAAGACCATGACATCCCCAAATCTGACTCTACTGTTATCAAAAGTCTTGAAGTCAATGAGACAGAAATTGAAACTTTTCACACCAAAAAAGATGAGGAACAGCTGTATAGACAAGCTAGACAAGTCCTTGATCATATAGCTGTTAAATCCCCCAGTGCTATTATTGGACACACGGTCAAATTTGTCAGTTGTCTTCAAGAGAAAGCAAATAAGCAGTACCTACTTAAATTCCTGAAGAGAATGAATTTTCAATTGAGGCAACAGTACTTCATTCCACAACAATGGCACAACAACATTCTAACAGATGCCTTAAATTTTGTACCACAAGACAAAGAATTAATAGCAGCATGGGAGGAACTGTTTACTAATGTTTATCAAGATCCTGATGCTAAATATCAAGGAGGCGAAATTTTTAAATTGTTTAGTAAAAAAATTTGCAAGAGGAGGTGTGTGACATTTCTTGCAGTTGACGGTCTGAATCCCAGTAATGAGAAGCAATCATCAGCAATTCGTCAAATGCTACGCCAGTTTGAAAAAAAAGAGCAAGATAAAGAGAGGGCAAAAATTGTAAAGTCAACTGATCAATGCTTCAAATGTGGCGAGCTTGGTCATTGGGCAGCGCAATGTATGAAAAACATTCCACATGATCCCGCTTGGTTGGCAAAGCAGCAGTGCTATGCTTGTGGTCAGGCCGGCCACTTGAAAAAAGATTGCAAAAACACATCATCTCAAGCTGCCATATCTACACCAAAGTGTACATCAAAGAACTCTAAAAGCAAGGTAAAAATATATCTATAAATGCGTCATTGTTTTACATGATATATTATAAAAGTGCTTGTATCTGTGCCTTTAAGTAAAAAAGCCATTTCCTTGAGAAAGTAGAGTTTTTACACTTTCTGATAAGGGCTTAAGTTCAATAACCTTTCTTTACAGGGAGACATCAGTGACCCTCTGACCATACAACTGCTTCGTTTACATGAGGTAACATTGCGAGACAACCCTACATTAGTGCCAGTTCAAGCCAAAGGTACTAACAAAGTGAATGATGAGCGATTGTTTGAACAAGGGACGGAGGAATGGAAAAAAGCAAGGAAAGGAAAAGTGAATGGAAGCAAAGCTGCAGTTGCATTAGGTAAATAACCTTAAAATACAGCTGAATGAAAAAACGGTGTCGCTTGAAAAGTACAGTATAAACCTTGAACTATGTGACCTGACGTATTTACGGATAGCCTTAGCATTGCAAATTTAAAGTTTCTTTGAGAAATGTTTACATTATCGAAGCTTTTTTCGACAATGCATTCCAATAAATGTCAAACAGTTTCCAGTTTTCACGGCTGTCTACAGTAAAAGAGCATAACCATATCACTCATGCACACTTGAAAATCAGACGATGGGACCCAAAAGCTTTTTTGGAAAACAAAAAAGACAGAGGCATGCCTTAAACAAGATGCTCTAAGAATCTGAATCTGCACAAGAATCTCGTGACAATGTAAACTTCTGTCAAAATAACTTTGAATTTGCTTTGCTAATGAAAGTATACCCATAAAAGCTTAATCATTCATGGTTTACACATATTAGTGACAAAGTTTTTTTTAATCAGGTATATAACATATGCTAGTGATAAATTACATCATGAATAACAGTATAGCATTGGCGTTTGGACTAAAAAATATCCTGGTTTTAGAAATAACTTTTGATAACATAAAATTATTATCCTTCTTCTAGGTTGGAGAGGAAGAGAAGAAATGGTTCTTTATGCAAAACAACTGATTCCTGCCAATGATTCCACAAACGAAACTGAAACAATGCCAATAAATGAGGCCATGAAATGGGGATCAATGTGCGAAGATCATGCAGTTGCTACTTATATCAATGGAATGCCATGTAAAAAATTTGAAAAGACAGGACTGTGGGTAACAAGGGATCGAAATGGGGCTGCTTGGCTTGGTGTCTCTCCAGACGGCATAGTCGACAGTGATATGGGGTTGGAAATTAAGTGTCCTTATATGGGAGGAAATCTTTTTCCCTATAGAAAAGTCCCAGTGTTGTATGTTCCCCAATGTCAACTCGAAATGTACTCTACTAACACACAAAAATGTCACTTTGTTTGTTGGACACCAAGAAAAACAGTGATTTTTCTGGTAAAAAGGGACGAGCAGTTCATAAAAGATCTTCTTATTCAACTGAAAGGGTTTTGGAGTGAAGCACAGGCTGGAAAAATACCCACTTGGAACACACACCTTGACCATCTCAAAGCACAGGCTCAGAAGATAAGCAACCAGTCAACGGTCTTGACAACACTAACATCCTGCAGAAGTGAAAATGCCATGGAACACAAAGATTTTAATATGTTTTGGAAGAACGCTCAGGGGACGCCCACACGAAAGTGCCAAGGCTGTGGGAAACTGCAAGTCCTCTGCAGAGTTAATCCTTGCCAAAAAAAGTTACATTCAAATCCCTCTTCACCATCTTCCAGTATCTTCCAATCATACACATATGGCTCTGGTCAAATGGCAAATTCCTGTTATTTGGACACTTTTCTAGAATCCATTTATCATCCTTTCATACGACAAATAACACCGGAAAGAACACACTTTGATCATACCACTCCAGCTATGGATACACTTCTCGAATCTATTGTCCTCCGTGGACAAGGAAGTTTTCATAGAAGTAAAATGGTTCTCTGGACCTATTTACACCATCACACTTCTAATGGAAGGACGACTTTTCCACTGGGCCAAATGGCGGGAATTTCCAACGTCTTTACTGCTCTGTGTTCAGACATGTCACAACCAGAAAAGAATGCTCTCTTCATCACAGATTCAGTCAACATCAAATGCAGAAAGTGTAACCATTGCCGTAACATCGTTAACACTCATAGTTCATACTTCATACACCACACTAATATAAACATAATGGATATAACAGATTCTACATATGATCCAGTGCAGGTCGCAGAAAAGTTACTCGTTCAGCAGGATATTCTCTGCTCACAAAGAGGTATTTGTTTAAGATCAAATGATGATGGCTCTGTTTGTGGAGGTCAACTTTCCCACTCGTCTTCCGTGGTTAATAATCCCTTTCTTCTAGTGTTTGAGCTTGATAAGGACGAAAACAGGCCCATCCAGCCTGGACTGTCAAGCAAGCTCCACCTAAGGGTCAAGAAAGATAAATATGACCTGGCAGCAATTATATACCACCACAACTTTCATTTCTGGTGCGAAGTATTTGTTAGTGAAAAAAGGTACAGAGAGGGATGGTTCTTGTACAATGATATGTGGAACAATGGCAAAGCTGAATACGTTGGAAAACATCCCCAAGTAAAAACGACATCATACATGTACATGTTAGTGTTCGAAAGGTCACAAGTTAACATGACGACATCATGCTCGAAAGATCACTCAGCATCATTAAAGAACATCATGTCCGTGGCCTTCCAAAGTAACATCACTCCTAATGCCAAGCAAGTAAAGCAGAATTACATTGACATTTTCAAGTCCTGCTCTATAGCTGTCAATGCAAGTTCTTCAAACCAGGAGCTGAGAGCCAAACTCCTTGAAAATGAACAATGTATACTCGGTTCCTTGACTACTAGTAAAAGTCCCACAACACAAAAAAGCCCCAACACCACTTCTTCGAAACGCAAAATCGGAATGACAGACGACATACCCTCTGCAAAGAAACCTAAGCTGCTTTAAAGTTTGCTGAAAGCTATAAATGAAAAGCAATTTTGACTGCCGGTACTGAATTAGTAAGATAAATATACTTCAAGTTGTTCTACACGCACTGATGTTTGGTATCGAGCACGAAAAATAGATCGACTGATCATTTTTATGAGGCGTTCATCGATATTAACTACACGCTATACACATTTTGTTGGACAAGAACTATTCTAGAATCAAGTTACAAGATGTCCCATGCTTCCCATCAAGAAATATCGGCAAAATTTGCATGCGACATGAGGTTTCGCCCATACACAAAATGCGAAGGGAGAAGATTCGCTACAAACGTTCAAAAAGTTTTTTTGCGAGATTTTGAAGCAATTATGAAAATCCACGTACCTCTGCAGTTGGAAAATAAGATGAAGAACCTCCTCGATCAAATGAAACTCATCTTGGCGCTTTCCAAATGGCAAAAAACGTTTTGAAGATGACAACACACAAATCGAAAACACCGCCATTTACGAAAATCTTCTCGACGCACGCTTCACTTTGCGTGACGTCACGATGGCCAGACACATCGGACAGCCGCGCTGACGAGTTTATGACTCTCTCCTGCGGCGACTCTTCCTTTCTATTATTAGAGGCCTGGGCGTTGTCACATGAAGAGACATCTTGAAAGTCTCCTTGGGAAAATGAACAAAGTGTGAAAACTGGTTCCTCTATCGGGCCTATTTCAACTAAATGACGAAAGAAAAAAATATTAAAAGAGAAAGGCCTTCAGAATTTTTTATCAAAACACTTCAGAAGCGGATTATGGATGCTCAATCTCACTAAAACAAACGTTACTTCAAAAGTATTGTGTACTTATCTTTTTAAGCCTAGTGAATGGTCATGCTGAAATTACAACAGTTCTCAACCTACTTTAAAACTAACAGCGTTGCAGCTATCTCTTGTAGTTCGCATTGATGTCTATTCAGTTACGCTACGTTATAACAAAACTAGTGCCCAAATTATGAGTTAGTTATCTATAGCTTCTAAGATGTCTGACCTTCCAGTTGTGTCCATGGTACTTTCTTTCCTTTACCCACGTCAAATGCTTTCCACGCTGTGAGCTCTCGGTCTCCCAGATGGAAGTTGTTAAGGCTGCTAACTCCCTCTAATTTCCCACGCAGAGACGTTGGACGCACGATGGACATGTCGATCAAAGCCCCCCGAACACCTCTAACACCACCATGAGACAGCATTGCATCTCGGAAGTCTTCTGCAGTGACCACATCGTGACCTTCGTTGAGATACCTTAAAACGTGAGCTTTAATTGTGGCCGCCTTTCTGTCACAGGGCCCCTTACCGCCTTGCGGGTCGCTAAAATCAACTCTTTCTACTTTAATTCCCGTTGCTTTCTCCATAAGTCCACACTTGTTACTGTGATAACATCCAGCGTTGTCCTGGCGGAGAAAGGCAGTTGTTGTTTCAGGATGGTCCATTTTGAGCTGCTGCAAGGTGTGGCGTGAAACGCTTACCACCGCGTCACTGTCTTGATTACAATTCTTCACAATGTGGACAAATGCTTGGTTTCGCAGGTTTCCCTTTCGACGTACGACGGTACTGAAATGCCAAGAGATTCCTCTCTTAGCAAACCAGTCGGCTTGGGTTTCCCGGTACTTTCGGGGCAAGAATTTCATCGCCCAGTCTTGAGTGATTAACACTGAACTTTCTGCCAGGGTATCTATGATGTTTAAGCGAGCCTTATCCTGTTGAATAGATCTCAGTTGATGAGCCTTCCAAGCTTCTATTGCTGTATAACCTTGCTGAAACGAGTACATGACGTCATCCCGGTCTTCTTCATCCAGGTTCGCTTCGATCAAATTCAACTCAATTTCTTTTAAAGTGTCTTTCAGCCGATCACAAAAGGGACAACTCTTGTCGTGGGCGTGGTCACACATTTCTCGAAGACACTCTTCTTTTGTATCAGTTAGGGCGTACGCACTACAGTGGTCGGGGATACTGGATGCTCTGGTGATATGAACCTGCGAGAAAGTAGTCAGAACAAAAATAATAAGCTATATCTACAAAGAAGAATTTCTTCATTGTGTTTTTGAAATTTCTGGGTAAATTTTGAATTCAACATCTTAAAAAAGAGATCATCAACCTATGATTGGCCAAAGAACTAGACACGATTTATCACACATCTTTTACTGTGGTCATACAATTAAATTTACTTAATAGTATAAAAGGGGTAACTAAGCATAAAAGGTAGGCATAGCTACAATAATTTTTAAGGGTTCAACTGATCGCCTTTGCATATTTACTTCTTTTATGTGATTACCCTTTCAGTGTTTATATTATAAATGGTTCTAAAATATCTACCTTGTAGTCCGTTTTCAAATACTGTTTTCCCTCTTTCAGAGCTTGCTCGCATCTAACGACCCACTGTCTGTCTCCAGTCCTTGCAACTAATTTTAGCAAATCGTTAAAGGCTTTTGCTCCTTCAGCGGCAAAGTAGTCTAGTCCTTGAAGTGACTTTCTTACTGTAGAGGTACACGATGACAATATTCGTAACATTGTGGACGGGCTGAACGGAGAAAAATTCGTCTCCAAGCAGGACTGGTTACACTGATCAATTATGCGCGGTGGTATCATGGACCTTATCACATTAGGTGTTTCGAGTACCTTGCCGTTTGATAGGTACAGGTAGCGTTGGCCAAACGGTAGATCTTGGACCACGTTGGGACTGGTAATGAAGCTTAAAAAATGATCGAGCTGGATTTCGTCTACCCTGAGTCTAGGGCTCTTGGCGGCAGGCAGGGGAAAACCGAGTCCATGCTCGATGGAATGTTGGCGAGCTACTTTGATTCTGTAGTCGGTGATGCCAGGAATAAATTGCTGCAAAACAGAGTACGGTGTCAAATCAGCCATTATTGACAACACCTGTCGGCGGGTGTCCCAACTACTTGCATTCTGATAGGTCTCTGCTAACGCTTCCACGTACTTCTTATCCAACGGAGATTGATTTTCTGTGCCTAAGGCTTTTTCTACAGACTGTGAGCTTTTCATTGCTTCCCATAGGGCTGCCGGGTTTCCAGGAGAAATGACCTCTAACGACGCAACGACAGCATCTTTTGCTTTAGATACGCGAACATTTTTAGTTCGCGTGCTTAGTTGCTCCCAACTTTTTTTCGGTTGATTCACAGTTTCCCTGCCACATACACTTAGAAATTCATTCAGCTTTAAGCGACGAAGCGTTTGGTTTTCGATTGATGAATCATTCGCACTACTGCTGCTGCTGCCGGTACTTTCTGTAGCGTAAGGGCTACTGTCGAACGAAACAAGTTCGAGGTTTTTCATGGCTTGACTTAAACCAGAGGTACTTTCATTGTCCTGAAATATAAAAGAGAAAAGAGAAAGCCAAATTAAGAAAGAGAATAATAAAATGATATAAGGAGTTAAGAAGCTATAAGCGACTATCACAGTAATACAAAATAATGACAATGACGATGATTGGGCCGATGATAGTGATGAAGATGATGAAAACTGTAGCTTTTATTTTAAAAAAAAAATTTAGTCATCGATTTAATTCTACATGTTTTGAACTGCAAAACAAATTGCAGATCTAATTTGAAACAATCCTCTTTCCTCCATCTGTTTCTTTGTGTGCATGTGTTTTTTTTTTCGTTGAGGTCCCAAGAAGGAGCCATTTGAAAACTGTTTCAATTCCAAATCCTGTCTCTGATTCTGATGATTATAATATATTACCGAGTCAGTTTCGTCAGTGTCAACAACTGACAGGACCTTTGCCTTTGCTTGTTGGACTTTGAAAGAAACATCCTCTTTTGTGGGACGGTGATGAAGCAAATGATGTGCAGACGTCTCGTTTCTCTTTTGCGATTGGAGGGGGGACATCGTCTTTTGTTTCACACGGGGATGAAGGTGCCCCTGATGCAAGCACCAGCCGACATTTTTTACAAATGGCTAAAATTAAAACAGAAAAATAACAACTCATGAGTACATTTCCCATCTTCTTTATTCAGCGATAAAATCTGCGGAATATCCATTTCAGCCTTCGTGAAATAATGCAGTGGAATCTCCATAATCACTGCAAATTTGGTTGGTGTCTGTAACACAGCGAATGTGGTTTTAATCACTGATTTAGACATGCATTTGATCCCCATCGAGTTAGGATTTGGTCATAAAGCTTTTTGTTCATGGCAGCTAATTGTTTCTAAATTTTAAGTACCAGTCCCCAGCCTACGCCACAGACCAGACTTAACATCTAGCCGGGTTTCTTTCGGCTGCATACGCAGCTCCCAGGGACTAGAGGATTGTGCAATTCTTAGCATTATCTTTATTACTTACGAGACGCACCTGGAACAAGCACTGAAGTGAGCGTAAAGATCCTTTTACATTGTGGTAGGGTGATACCCCGATCTCCCTTGACTTGTTTACTCTTCGATGCGCCGCTCAGTCTTTTGGAGCGGAACATGTTCTTTTGCCGCTACGCCATCGTATATCAAAGGCGTCTCGATGTCGTGGACAAATCGACATTTTAATATGATTATCATCGACTTCGAAAATCCCTGAAACAAAATGTACAAAGAAGCCGCAGTGAATTCATGTAGCAATCCTGTGGTAATCGCAAAATGTGTTTGCTGTTAGTATCAACAGTTAGTAAGTCAAATTCCGGAACTACGTTGCTGCCTTTGAGAGGTCTTTCGAGTTGCGGTGCCACGCATAAACAAATTAATATTAATGAATAAAATAAAATAAAACGAATGGCATATAATAACAAGCGGTAAAAGTGCATCAACTTGATCAACTCATCGGAAAGGCTTTATTTATTTACAGTGCAAATCAGTTACCTGCTCTTGCGAGAAGAAGATCTGCTTCCGTTTTCAAGGACGAATCAAAGCAGTCATATTGGTTTAAGTGAGACTTGATGTCTTTTGTGCATTTGTCTAGTGCTACACACGTTGCATCTGCAGGATTTGAAGGGCTAGCTCCTCAGGGCCCTCCAACAAACGTGGAATATCCACACGATGCCATACGTCAACGAGTGTTGGCTTCAACTCGGAAGCAAGGTGGCTTTGGTACTGGCTCTAAGAATTACTCAACTATCACACGTTTACTTTGAAAAAATTTTTCAGGGTGGAGTTTTTCTTATCTGAATTATCTGAAAGCATTTTTAGACTTAAAGTAAATATTTCAAGATCAGCAGACGAGATAACCCAAGATAGCAGACAACAACCTCGTTCCCAGGTTCTCTCTCCTACTCTTCGAGCAGACAGCACATGTGGTATCTGGTCCTGGTGCTATATATGTTTGATCAGCCCCCTGATTTATCATTTTCACTTTGATCATTGTTTAGTTTCAAGGAGGGTTTATTGCACTGTGCAGCACAAATCTGACTTACCCCACACCCATACAACTGACATTCCTCTCCCCAGTCCCCACAGCTGTGTGTAACGCATTGTCCTATTGCTCCGCAACAGATGTGAAGAGAACGTGTATTTAGCGGTTTTATTTCCAATACCTCTTCAGTTTTTGACAGATAAGTAATATATTTAGTCATATATCCTTATGTAAGCTGACGTGGGCTAAACTGTTCTTTTTCAGCTATTTTGAAAAAATAGCTCATATGTCAGTGGTGTGAGCGTATGTATCTTTGTGGCTTTGTATCTTTGTAACTTTGTATCTTTGTATCTTTGTAACTTTGTATGTTCGGATGTTTGTTGCAAGAGCCAATAAGGTTGAAGGTACTATTAGTTGATGCTTAGGAACCAATGAGATCTTAGCATCTACTTAAACATGACTTTGGTAAAGGTCGAACAAGGGCACTTTGAGACCGCCATCTTTATTCTTCACAATTTTTTCGTCTTTTATTACGGCTACAGGTGTTTGGAAACATTATATTAAATATCTTCATTATTCAAACGCTGTGTACTGTGATGCAGCTGTTTAAGGGTTCATATTTTAGTGTTGAAGCTACTTCAAGACATTTCTGACCGAATTCGGCTATCGTTAACAGTACTAACGCACGTATTTATGAGTTGTGTTTCACGTTCTTCAAGGTAGAGTATAAAAGATCGTATATTTTCAAAGCTCTTCCCGTGAGACAATAATTGATATTTAGGTATGGACTTTGGTTGTAGATGTTTGAAAGGCAGTTTATTTGTTTTGGAAGTTGTACCGAGTATTGTTAATCGTGTAAACAATCTTTATTTTCTCGCTTACAAAGTTCAACAGACGTTTTTCGTTGCGGCAGTTAAAACATAGACTGCAAAACAGTCCGTATTTTTGCGTATTCAAGTACGCGCGAGCAGTCAAACAAAAGGTCTGGAATGAGGCTGAAAACAGAGAGCGAGACTGGGGAGAGACGCTAAAAATACGGACTGTCCGTTTTGCATACGTTATATTCGTTCGAATTACCCGCTTCTCCCAGCCACGGGCAATTCCCATTGGCTAAATTTCCATGCAAGCTGTCAAGTAATGTTTTCAACAAGTCATTCACGTTGTTCCATACCGTGATGAATTGCTAAAGCTTTCTCTGTAAAATGACAGATGTTGATCGCCTGGATTTGCTCGCAAGCATTGGGATTTGTTTTAAAATCGGAGTAGAGGGAAGCTTTGGAGTTGCTACTCAAGGGAAAGGATGTTTTCTGTGTTCTACCAACAGGATTTGACAAAAGCCTTATTTATCGGATGTTTGTTCATGCAAAGGGTTCTTCAAGTTCCGTGCAACGGCCGACCGTCATTGTTATCTCGCCTTGTTAAAAAAGCGATCGGTAGGAAACACACGACTTTTACCTCATGGAAACATGCCGCTTGTTCCAATGAATTATTTTCTCTGTCGAGTAGATTATGCTTTGGAGAAAAACGTTTTGACTGAGCAAATGTGAATTTTGGCCGCTTATTAAATATATTTCATACTGAGAGGTCGTGACACGCGTATTGATTTTCTCTGGTAGGCATGATTTGCCCTCTGACGCAAGAGCATTTTCTTTCTTGGCCCCTTTAGAAATGTAAAGCTGTTCATTGCGGCTGATTAAGGGTTTTAGGTTGTTTTATTTCTTCAAAGTGCCTCCTGGATTTGAATAATTTTAAGCGATTTTCTTTGTGTCCGTGAATGTGACTTTTTCCTGCAATGTTTTGTCACGCTTGGCCTAGCTCGTTAGCGTTTTTGGCAGGATTTTAAATTCTCACAGATAGTAATTTACAGAGCTAAATCACCAAGACCTGGTTTGGAATGAGGGAATTTACTCATTCTTTTCAATCGCAATAATTGTTCATTGTCAGTTGGCGTGTTCAGTTCTTCTCTAATTTGCGAAAGCATCGCCGTGCAGTTTCCCGGGGCAGTTTCTAACCGTTGTTCCGCACGGAGAGGAAACTGCTGTTGTGGAGAAAGATTCTCCTTCCTCGAGGACAACGAAAAGTTCGTTTTTCAGTAGGTCGGCCCACTTTGGTAACGTTTCCCCTTTTCTGGTAGGCGCAACAAACGCATTTTCCGAGCTTATCCATCCATTCGTAAAATTGCCGAACTGTGTTTTGAAACAACAGCCGCATTCTACAATTTGTCCAAAGCCCTCGGCTCTTTCGCCTTTCTCCCTCTTCGAGGAGCAGGCACAGGCTTTGTTGTCGTACTGCCACTTTCGCTCATTTTTGATCCTCCACTATATATACTACATTTCAATATATACACTACATTTCACAGGGAAGCAACGCTAAATACTGGATTACAGCGTCAATAATAACACGCGAGTCTATCAAATTCACAAAGAGGGCGGAGTTGCGAACAGATTTTTGACAGCTCGACGACATTTTTGAACCCCCTGGTCGGAACGAACTCATTGTATGGAAAACGGACAGTCGGTTTTTTTTTCTCTCGCCTCACACGCCCGTAGGGCGTGTGAGGCTCGCGCGCTTCGCGCGCGTAAGACTCTTACGCCACGCTTTACCGATTTCTTTACTGATTTTGAGAAAAAAACCGACTGTTTTGCAGTCTAGTTAAAACATGAATAAGTGAACAACGTGATACATCTTTCCTGCTTACTAAGTCATATAGTTATTGAAACGTATTTTATTTAGTAAAGATGCATAACTTAAGGGTGGTTTCCGTATTATCTCTCCGATCACTGTGATGGCTGTGATGGCTGAGAAAAAAAAGTTCAGCGATCGGAGCTATAATAGCGATCATAAGCAAACCACCTTCCAGGGATTGCAGACATTTCCATATGAACTTTTTTTTTTGTCAGCGATGACAGCGATCGTAGCAATCATATGGAAACCAGGGTTTAAGTAGAAGCAGTTGCGTTAGGGAATAGAATTGGAAGAAGCTGGTTGACACTAATTGCATGTTGTTTTATTGAGTGGAATAACATGATATGAGTATAAATATATTTCGGCAGTTTGAT